AATTCTGTATAACTCGGTTGTCTTTTTTTATCATTCTCAAAATGAAAGTTTGTAACAGTTCATAGAATTTCCCTTACAATTATTCAAGGTGGGTACTCACCCCCACCAACGAGTTAGGGTGGGGGGTGAGGGGGTGGGTGATTTAAATAGCCRAGGAACAAGTGATTTAAACACCATGGAAAGTTTTGAGGACAAATCTGAGGCAGTCAGAAAGTGTGTCCATCWATAAAACTCTTTAAGACACTTAAAGAAAATCATTTGGCCAAAAGCTCACAAATGCAGAACACAGATATCATGCAGCAGCAGATRTCTGAGGGTGGTCTTCAAACGAGAAGGAGTCTGTGTTGTGACGTGTGCAGCGGCAGGAGGKGTTTCCCGGGAGCTTTGTGCCGTGTGTCTCATGAACTGTGACAGGTGTGTGCGAAAACAAACGCCTGGCAGCCACATGGCAGCGCGCCGACTGTTCGGCTTCAGGTCGAGTATGTTGGACCCTTTAGTCAAACCGTGGCCTTTAACGTCTCTGAGCAGGAAAACGGCTTTGTGCTCAGGTTGTGGTCGCTCAGTCAGTGTCTCCAACTTGTAATCCTGAGGCTGCAGGTTCAAGCCCAGGTTACATCAAGAAGGGTATCGGGGTAAAAAAAAAAAAAACAGTTGTCTCATCTTTTTGAAGAAGCAACCAAAAGAAAAAAAAACAACATTTCAACCTTTGTGTCAAATGCTTCACTCGACAGGTTTGTTTTTCATGGCAGGGCTGCTTTAACTGCAACAACAAACACTGAATATTTGGTCAGTTTATAGTCTGGACTGTAATGTTCTGTATTATATCACAYAAAGAGTTTAAAAACTGTATTTACATCAGTAGCATTATTGTTGCTCTTTTAATCCTAAATTCATTCTTTTGTGATTCTGATTGTGTTATATTCTGATGCATCTTTTACCTGCCAGGGAACTAAAMGGTACAAATCACCTATCAAATAAATCTGGTGTAATGCACATAAAATATTAAAGCCTAAAATATCCTAACTATGATATCATGCTAACATTTGAAAGAACAATGTTGTATTTGCCACAGAGATTATTATAATAAGGCCTTAAGTTTTATCTTTTGAAGTATTTTTTTAATTGGCTTAAAAGAAAGTGTTGCTTTTAGAAAGAAAAACATAATAATTTGAAAGTACATTCCTAAGTTTTTATTCAGCTCTACCCCAGCTAGGAATGTTTACCAACCTTCATTCAACCCAGAGGCTAAATTATTAAATACCACGATCTTGATAAGCTCCAACGTTATCAGCTCTGCTTTTTCTATCAGAGAAATTCTCTTCTTCAGTGTCGGAGGCAGAGCAACTCTTTTMCTCTGCAGCAACAACCACTCACAGAGCAAAGATAGCCCATCTTAAAAATGTAAATGTACCCAGGAGTTAAAGCTAATAATGTTCTTTACAGGTGAAATAAATATTTTAAATGTGAGGGTCAAAGATAGTTTTGCCAAAACATTTAGATAAAGGCAGAACATCTGCCAAAAAGTATTAAAAAAATATGAAAAAATCAACTTGGCATAAAAGTTGGAAAATAATTTGCGAGTATTTGATCCCATTTACCCCAGTCAGAACTGCTGGCACATTAAACTGTTAAAATATAATAATGTGCTTCTGTTTTTAACTTACATCCCTATCAGGGAGAAAACAGGAGATCCGCAGAAGGCTCCAGGACCATCAGCAACAAGACTGGTGAGAGAGGAGTCTATTCAGAAATGGAAAAAAGCTTAAATGACCTCCAGCAGGTCTTTATCTGGAGCTCCAAGCAAGAACCTGCATATTTGGAGGAAGAGAAATGCTGAGTGTATGACCCATAAAAAGCCACTCCTACGGTCAACACAAGATGGTAACATTTGTCTTTCACTGTTTTTCTGCTAAAGGTACAGGATGAGTCCTGCACTGAGGGGCCAATGGACGAGACCACATACCATAAAACCTTAGCTGAGAACCTTCTTCTCTCAGGCAGTACAGTTATGATGAGTCATGGGTGGCTCTTCCAGCCTGACAATAACCTAAAACATTCCCCCCAAATACCCCCAAGGCCACAAAGCAATGGAAGAGGAGGAAGCACATTAAGAGTGTGGAATGGCCACACCTCTGGACCTGAGTGCTACTGTAAATCTGTGAAGGAACCTGAAGATTTGAGCTGCTAAATGGCAGCCAAGAAACCTAAAGCAGATATTCTTAACCCATGGGCCGCGAGTGCCACCTTGAGGGCCTCAAAAGAACAACAGTTTTAACTTTGGGCCACAGAGGGCCGTGGGACCGCGTTGATTTTAAATAAGGTGCAATACACTTTCTCACCACTAGTTTAACAACGTTTTTTAAAATGTAGAAGAAGAACATCAGAAACCTGCCGAGAATGGAAACTTGTTTTAACTGAAAAGAAGAAGCAAAAACGAAAGTAATTCATCAAAAAACACCAAAGTTTGTCACTAATATGAAGTGCAGCTTCTGCTTTCACCAAGCAATATTTTAAGTTTAAAACATTATCAAATACAGTTGCAGATACAACTATATTTTAATTTGCACTTTAAATAAATTTTTGTAGTTTATTTTTAAAAATTTTGAATGTATTTTAAAGAAATTTTAAACTTGTCAAAAAGCTGTTGTTACTGTTATTGTTTGTCACTAAAATGAAGAGCAGCTTCTGGTNCAGCTTCTGGTTGCAAAAGTTTAAAAATGCTATATTTTCATTTGTACTTTATCAAATTTATTTTTACAGTTTTTTTATTTGAAACATTTACATTAAACATTTTTAACTTATTTATTTTATGCCCAAAATTTTATTTTTTGAATTGTGTATTTTTGTTATTTTTTCTATTATATAAATATACTGTCTGGGTCAGTCAATTTTATTTTCACTGTTTCTACTTTTGTTTTTGTATTTTAAAGCCATCACATTTTTTGATTTTACTTTTTTCGTTTTATGTTATGAGCACCTTTTTAAGTTTCAATGGTTTATTGTTCTCTTCTGCTTGATGTACTTTTCTTGCAGCTATGGTCCATTTATTTTTGAGTTTATTAAAGCTATAGAGCACAGGTGTCAAACTCTGGTTCTCGGGGCCACTATCCAGCATTTTTTTTTCTTGTTTCCCTGCTCAACCACACCTGATTTGAACGACTGGATTATTAACAGGCTTCTACAGACTTTAAAAAGGTAACTGACTCWCTGAATCTGGTGTGTTGGAGCAGAGAAACAAGGAAAACATGCAGGATAGTGGCCCTGGAGGACCTGAGTTTGACACACCTGATCTRGAGTGTAGACCAGGGGTTCTCAAGCCATTTGGGTCTGGGGACCTCTTACAAGGGTGAAAGAAATTCCAGGGACCCCCTCATAAACCCCATGCTGTTTTAAAAGATAATTTGTTGTTATTTCAACCCCTAAATGCCATGCGAATATATGTAATTACATTTATTATGTTTGTTTTATTAGTTCATTGTTCTCCATGCATTTTTAAAAATAAAAACCATATTAACAATTTAGAGAAATTTTTTGAGGACCCCCAAGATACCACTCGTGGACCCCTGGAGGTTCTGGGACCCCAGTTTGAGAACCTCTGGTGTAGATAACAAAAAGACCGTGGTAATAATTCCATTTGTAAAAAACTTGTGTGAGAAACTGATGATTAAATGGTTAAAATAGAACACTTACATTTGTTCAGATTCAGTATTCATATTTTTTGGATCATTTTTTAATAATTTTTTCATCGATTTTGGAGGTATCGTGATACAGCCAAAAAATATCAGGATGTAAGATTTTCCTCATATTGCCCAGCCCTAACGGTAAGTAAAGAGGTATATTTAGCACTGTTTAATTACTTTAGGGATGTAATAATAAAAAGATGAGATTGGTGAATCCAGTACCCAGGAAGTTTTTGCATTAGTCTTGATAACATGCATTACCTGTGACAGTGGCGAGGGCTTTCTCGGCCGTCTGTCGCAGCGTTTCTCCCTCCTGCCACGGAGCCTGAGGCAGCAGCCACAGCTTCTCACCACCCATCTGCTGCTGGGCCAGAAGAACCAGCGAGTCGGCCAGGCAGCGCTCCACAGAGGTCAGGTCTTTATCTACGTCGGCTGTAAAAACACAGAGGAACAGAGAAGGATGAAAAGACCATACAGGGCCTTGTGTGAGCAAACATTCACATCAGCTTTCCAAATGTCACAGACAGGAAAATGCAAATAGAAAAATCTGGAGCAGATAGATTTTCTGAATGTCGAAGAAATGAAAAAGCCTTTCAGTCTCTGATAATTTAAAATGAAATGCAGCTCCTTATAATTTCCTCACATGACTGATTTATTTCATTCTTCTTTTCTGGTAATAATGAACACATAACACCAGAAAATTCACCGGCACAATTGCAAACACAGTATGCAATAAAGAACCTTCATGTTACCCACAGTGACATCACATTTGTCTGCACTGACCTACGACCCTCGGTGCTTTCTGGAAGTTCTGAAACTTCTGTTCCCAGGCGTCTTCCAAGTCCTGAGCCAAGATGATGTCCTGCTCGTCATCGCTTTCGTCGTCGTCCAAGTCATAGTCACCAGCCTGCTTCCGACTCATTTTGTCTGCGTCCTCCAGCAGCCGCACCTCATGGTCCGACAGCAGGCTTTTCTCCAGCTCCATCTGAAAATAACATAGAAAGAATCTCCATCAGTCTGCAGGACACTGAGAGACTTTACTGAGGGTTATCAGCTGACAGAAAGCAAGTCTACTCCAAAACCCGGCAGGTGCTGGGATTTTAGCCAAACAGAATGCTAAAACTACAATTTAAATCATCACAGTTTGGTTTATAAGGAACATTATCATGTTAATGAGATAAATTCTCTGAATGCTCCTTTATTTGATGGTTCATTTATTTATACTGCAGCAAATTGCGTACCATTTTATTATTTTTAAAACAGGCAAAAAGGGTTTTATGAAAGCTTACAATGTGCTTGTTTAAAGGGGACACATCCTGCAAAATCCTCTTTTTTAGTCATTAAATGCATTTTGTTGTGTACTAGGAATCTCTAGGAAAGCAGATGTTTAATTTAATCTTTATCTGTGCTGCGTATATATCTTTATATTGTGTTTGGGTCATGTTTTTCAACCCATTCAGTTTTTCTCTATTTTTCTCTGAGGTTTTCTGAACTATTACATCACAGAATTTGCAAAGAAATTGCAAATAAGGTCTGGACTTACCAACTACAGTTTTGTTGTCTCCATTCTCCTCTCACACTGGGTCAGACTCTGGCTCCAAAATCGTTTAATAATTTGTAAATTAAAAAGTTTCTGCACCGCTATATAGTCGTTAACCCTTCTATGGACCACCATGGAAGCTGGGGGCGGGGTGTGAWGCGCCTACCTACTTTGGATTTAAAGAGACAGCCTCAAAACCAGTTGATCTGTGACACACCTCAGAAAAGGGGTGAAAGAGGGGMTTATGGAGTTACAATATGGAGGAATTCAGATCAAAACATCGCTGTTCCACTTTATATAGACCCCAAMTGAATGATTTAAATGTGAAAAACAAGAATTTAAAAGCATGATGTCACTTTTAAAGGTTCAAACAGATGAGACCTTAGAAGAAAAATTGTTACTATAAATGTAAAAAAATGGAATAAATTATGTAAATTATGAGAATTATATGACTACTGAAAATAACTGGAAAAAGGCCACCAAACATAGGTGTCAAACGCTACAGAACAACTCTTATAAAGAGTTTATCAAGGCAGAGTTTATTTGTTCACTAACAATCATAACATGGCTGTTGTACGATGAATATGTTGTTTCATTACTGTGAGAAATTGCTGATACAGTCGATGAGGAAATAAAAAGTAATTACTGCTGTGCTTTATAAATGGATTTGATCGTCGCTTGACCTCTGGCGTTATTTATATGTGCTTTTCACCTGCTGCAGCATGTCTTTGAAGCGCTGCTCCAACGGGCTGAAGTCCGCCGAAACAACCGGGAGCCTCTGCAGATACACCGCTGCCATCAAAGCCCAAGGAGAACTCGCTTTTTCCGTCCCAGGTTTGGTCCGAAGAGTCTGTCCACGAATGGGAGTGATGGAAAAGTGACGACATCCTTCAATCCTGACGCCTGTTCTGCTAAAATGAGATAAAACCTTCCACAAGGTCCGACTCGCCATCCTTCTACAGGGCGCAGCCATCTTCTCCTGCTGCGTTCAAAATGAGTACGCGATAAAATGGGATGTCTGCCGCTTCACATTAACCACTGTGGAGGCGGAATTTATAAATTCAATATTTCACAAAAATTAAATATAATATTATTACTTGGCTTACATGCAACATTATGTACACTGGTGGATATTTTAAGGCTTCATGATAACGCTCACGGTGAAATCGTAATATTTTCGAAGTATTTTGGCACYCCTGAACGCAACATTTACCACAGTTCATTGCGGTAAAACAAACGTTCCATTATGTAAAAAGCAGAGGGGAGAGAAACATTTTCTTGTTTTAAAAAATAAAGAATATTTTACTAAGATACGCTCTAAATACGTGCATATATTTTTGTTAAAAATGATATTCTTGCTTTAGTTTAAAAGCATATCAAACACATCACATTTACGTTAATAATTTTTGACCTTGCGCCGAGTAACCTCTCTACTTAGTGGTTCAGTCTGAATGTGCTGCGCCTTTGCGTCTCCTACAATAACACGTTTGTTTCCGAAACTGCTTTAGACTTAACTGTACATTTTGTATGAGTCTATAAAGCATGTTTAATTTCAGGTGTGTTTTGCATAATTCCGTCCGTACCGTCTGTCGACAGCTAGCTGCCTCGCTAAACGGAAATGGGACTTCCCTGTAAGTGTTATCCGTACAGCTGTTAGCTAACAGCTAAGGGACGGAGTGTATTGACGTGCCACATTTTACATGACACAACCTAAATCATAGTTAGCAGATGTATCTAAAAAAGTTATTAAAAGCAGTTGTGTGTTTAGGGTTGGGGGAGGAAGGATGCCTCTACAGAGATCAYTACAGAGCAGCGCTGTGAGACTTCAGGAGGAAGAAGCGTCGGAGGAAAAATCAAAGAGCTTCACGTCAGACAAACTGCACATTTAACACACTATGTCTATATTAAAACGTCCTCTGGACTTAAAATTTTAATTAATAWTGATAATATTAATTTCCCTTAAATTCTGGCTTAGATTACTGAAAAACATCGTTTTACTTCAGTGTCCATAATGAGTTATTCGTTTTAATTCGAATCTTTCAGATATTTTCCTCCTCTGCCTGGTCAAGACAGCCCACTGAGATGGAATGGGATGAAGTTTGAAGAGCTACCAATTCTTCACATTAAGGCTACATTTAACAAGTAAGTGGAGGGGATCTTTGGGAATCACACGTCTTCAACCAAAATCCAATCCAGCTRTCCGCTTTACTCACTTTATCTTTTCCTAGTCACAGCTAACTGGTTCCTGTGTCCAGCAGTCCCTGTTCGAGAAGCAGGACACACACTAGACAGGTCACAAGTCCATCACAGGGCCATAGAGACAGAAACCAGCGAATGCTCACACCTAGGGGTAATTTAGAATCAGTGGGCCTCATGCAAAAGCCGTTCGTACGCACAGATTTGTTCTTAAATTGTGCGTACAAGTGATTTAGGAGAACTTCTGGCATTCACC